GTTGGAAAGAGCAAGTCTTCTAGTTTAAAATCTAGACGTGTAAACTTTCCAGATTGCATGAGTTTGAACGTAGTTATGGCTTTAAAAGCGTAAAAACTCGCACTCATCACGAAATTTTCCTCGTTAATTTTGCAAAAATCCTCAACGTGGCCATTTTTTGAGTACTGGACGTATGAAGCTGCTTTAGCAACCGTTTGATAGAGAAAATCTTCTAGTTTTGTATGACGTATCAACTTTTTGAATTTGACGGAAATGAAGCAAGTTATTGCTTCGGAAAGTGTAAAAACTCGTGCTCGTCATGAATTTTCCTCGTTAATTGATCTAATTTTTATTACCAGTTTTGCTCCGCCCGCTATCGCGCGCATCACACGGCAGGCTTTAGCGAAACTGGAGGGCCCATGGAATATCAGCATGTGGTACTCCATTAACCACCTCACTATTGAATGTGTTAGACCTTTCCCAGCTTCGCTGAAGTCCGTCGAGATAACGTCTGGAGCTGAACTGGCATATTTATCTCACAACTGTAAACATCCACCATTCTTCTTGAATTCAGATAATTTAGCGGTGAATAGGATTGCTGTCAGTCTCAAAATGAAAATGAAATATGCCTGTTTACATAAGTGAGAGCTAAGGCTTATCATTTATTTACATTCACCATTATTTAGAACCCCGAAAGGATTAGCGGTTTAATGAGTTTGGGCTTTCTTGATATGCATAGAAATGAAACTTATCATTTGCTGAAGACTTGATTGAGTTTATGCAATCGACTGCTTTTAAGTGAAGCTGGTCATACAATGATACAATGTGCACGTACCACTGCAAATAGAATTTGTAAGTAGGGGCGCTCTAGTATCAGCGCAAGCTACGCAAGCTGCGTTCTGACGCGCCTTATCAGCCTTTATCAGTTGTAACCACTTTCCATCACCCAGCAACAATGTTTCCGTCCCACCCCTTATAACATTGTAATTAAAAAAAAAAAAAAAAAAAAAAAAAAAAAAAAAAAAAAAAAAAAAAAAAAAAAAAAAAAAAAAAAAAAAAAAAAAAAAAAAAAAAAAAAAAAAAAAAAAAAAAAAAAAAAAAATATGGTTGCTCTGGTGTCAAGCGAGCCAGGTAACGGAATCGACGACTTCAGCGTTCTGGCGCGCCTTATCAGCCTTATCAGTTGTTATCACTTCCAATCACCCAGCAACAATGTCCCGTCCCATCCCACATAACACTTGTAAGTGTGGATGCTCTCCGGTACAACGCGAGCTGGGTAACGAAATCGACGACTTTTGCGTTCTAACGCATCTTATCAGCCCTTTTATCAATTGCTATCGCTTTCATTCATGTACCACCAATGTCCTGGGACCACGCAACAACACTAAAATGGGACTCTAGTACCAATATGAACGACAACCAAATTGGCGATGCTCGCTTTCTAGCTCCTCTTATCAGCTATTATCAGTCGTTATCAGTTCCTATCACATACCACTTGTGTCCATCCCACCCCCTATAACATATGTAAGAACCATGGCGCTATCATTGCTGTGACGCGAGCTACGAATTTCGTGACAAACAGACGCACACACACACATTCGCCATATTTGAAGAAGTTATAAGTATTTAAATATGTGTTCAAAGTTTAATAGTAGATAAGTGCCAAGGTCTAACGCAAAGATCAGTGCAGCACGAGGCGTGGAATTACTCAGGTCTCCATCAGGGTGAATAACGGTCGAGGAAATCCTCGACCATAGCTCTCTACCATGCGAGAGTAGTGCCGAGAGTGAACATCCGCGCGGAGAGCACAGACGGCACGGCATGGCGAGTGTGAATGTCCGCGCGAGAGATCGTCTCTGATCGGGCAGAGAATCCTCGACGTGCCGTTGAGGAATCCTCAAGCGATATTCACCCTGGTCACACACAGCTGGCACTGAAGGGCGGTTGAGAAAAGAGCTCTCTGTTGATTGAGAAGGGGGGGACGTGTAAATTGAGAACCATACTCTGTGTAGTACTAGAATTTGGTAAGTCTTGTGAAGGAAATAAATAAAGAAGAGATGTTGTCATAGTATGCCATTTTTAGTGACTAGTTTGTCGTTTTTTGCTCCTTTTCTCGTTTGCTCGTTTGGTAGGACTCATCATTAAATCTCTTTGACTTTTTCGCTGCGGGTAGCAGGGTTAGTTTATGAAAGTTTTTGTTTGGCGGGGGGGGGGGAGAAATTTAGCAACTTTTCATGGATGTGCTGTTGAGAAGGTGTCGTTCAGTGGACTTGGTCTTGGCTGAGGGGGGGTGCGAGGGCAGGGTCCGTGGTTTCGAAATTTTCTCGACGACCTCGCTTGACCATGGGTTTTAGATCCTCGTTCGAGTCGCTCTCAGAGCTAGTGTTCTGGGGGTTTTGTCAACTCGATCCACCTCGGTCTGTCAAAAGTGTGGGGCCGTGCCTAACCTCACCTCTTTTATCTAACAGTCCGCATTCTTCAGCTGTTTTTAGGCTTCTCTCTAATCCCAGGGCTGCCTCCTTCACTTTTCCATGATCCTCTTCTCACTTACTCTTAGTCTCTAAGGCTTAAGTAAGGCACTAACTTTCCATCCCAGTTAGCTAGCGTTGGCTACCATAGAATCTCGGACTTCTGCATACGAAGTCTGTTTCGCGGGGATGTCCGGGTAACGCGTGCTATTGCACGGGCTCCTGGCAGTGCCTCGAGTACCGTTAACGCTTTATTTCTGACAAAACTTTGAAATAGTTGTACTCTGTTAGAATTTTTCCACTGCTCCCTGGTATACTTTATGTCAAGGAATTTACAAATTTTTTGAAGCATTCGCCTGCCTACCAGAGAGAGGTTGCACTCCTGGTAAGGACATTGTGCGGATATAATCACTCAGTGAAAACTCAGTAGTACTAGCTGTGAACGACGATTGTACCATTCTTTGACGTGTTCCGCAGCCTTTTCTCCGCATAATCTCGCAGCACGGCCGGGGCGATGGCATCCAGCTCTTGAAGTACTCCTGTTAACGGCTGGTCGCTTGAATGATGTGCTTCTATCAAATCGTTCTGCTTCAATGACCCAGACTCACTTTGAGCTGCACCGTTGCTATAATCATTGTCCGCGAGGGCATTCGCCTTTTTCCTGCTGTCCTAACCCCTCGAATTGTTGGCGCCGTTGCTCGATCTGTGAGTCTTTTTGAATCAACTGCAGTCGAAGCTCGTCGGCTGTCTTCTTTCCTACAGTGAAGGCTGCGGACAACCTCCCTTACTCTCATAATTACTTCTGAGTCTTGGCAGTGCAGGATTGCGCACACCTCTTCCATCACTTCAGTCATTGCCGCACATTTACTGTCATGTGCTCCTGCAGCTGACTTACACTGTTAACTTCCCCTTCTCTTAGAAACTCAAAAACGCGTTCGGCTACTTTAGGCCTGCTTAGCTCGCTAATCTCAGCAAGTACTGCCTTCGCGATTTCTTTCTACCGCAACAAACGCCACTTGCTCTCTTACTGACGCTACAACACTCCCTTCTAGGATCATCTGTACGCATCGATTTTGCCAGCTCATTATCACAGGTGACACCAGTAATAGTCACATGGCAAACTTATTTGATTGCCTTTCGAAATCTTTCAAAAAAAATGTCACGTATATTTTATTCCAGCATCATTCATCCTCGACAGAGGTTCGGGGTAGTTCCTCCTCGTTTGAGTGCTTCATGGTCACAGCAGATCTTGCTTTCTTCTTTTATGGCGCAATTCTCGACGGAACATACGACGATATGCCTATATTAAACGTTTCCTTTATCGAAAATCACGATTACAGTAAAATCGCAATTCGATTTGAGAATAGGCGGTTTACAAAAATGATAGCTCTCAAAATCGAATTGAAGGAATGGATGTATGTGTAACTTTGGGCCGTATTTCTGTCCAGAGATTAACACCGGGTACAGCGGGGTTGTTCTCACGAATGACACGGGAGAGCAGACAAGGTTTATCGGAAAAAACGATGAGACGAACAAACAAACAAAAAAAAAAATTGCAATTGCTGATAACAGATAGTACAGCACAATGGGAATAAAAGTCCAGCGAGAATACGATTAGCTCCGGTTGTGAGTCCAGCGAAAGACGTGGGTCGGGATAAGTCCGATAGGGGAAAGGCGCGGTTCTGGATGGCCCCGCTGGGCTGCTCAGTACGAGAAGACTTCTGAAACGTCACTCGACCACCTTTTATTGCTACTGGTTCCCGCCAAAACTGCGCCTTTTTGGCGGCCGATCACCCACTGATCTATCTGTGTGGGTTCGACCCCCCTCATGATGCCACAAATGAACCACGTTCGCAAAATAGCAATCACTTCCTATCACTGGTTATAATGTCCAAGTCACGGTATAGTGTCCGGTCGGGATCCGATACTATTGATCGAATCCTCACTTATACCAACGTCCAGGTCACGGCTTACACCGGAGTTCGACACTCACAACTCTACTCGATCGAAAGTCACGACTGTAATATCCAGTCGGAGTTCGATCCTATCCCTACTATCAATCGACTCTTTTACGCTAATCCACTGTCGAAGTCACGGCTTATACCGCAGTTCGACACTGAAACTATACTCGATCGAAAATCACGACTATAACTTAGTCGGAGTTTGATCTAGCTTCTACTGACGTTCCTCGCTCCTAGCTCACGTCCGTTCTCCAAGTTGGCTTGGCCCCCAAGTAGCGGACGGCTTCCTTTCCCGGGCTCAACGAGTAACCTAGGAACCGGCAGGGTTAAGTCAGGAATTCCTAATAACTCCTGACTTATGAAGGAAGCGGGTCCTAAACGGTTTCTTGGAGTGTAGAGAGGAGACGAGGAGAATGAACTTTATTAACAGCAGCGAATATACAAAAGAGTATAGGCAGCGGCAGAATAACCAGAAGAGAGGTAGCTAGTAATGTCTGGGGGACTATTTATAGAGGGGGACTCCCGCTCAAATGGTAGATTGTACGAGTGTGTATGTAGGTCAAGGAGTGTGGTCCCCTTAGAGCCGCATTACACCAAAGCAACCTTAGTATCTATTAAAATGCTCCACATGCGGCGCACACTTCGTGGAACGAGTAGGAATTATGGAAAAAATATTGCCGTGATTTGAGTTGCACCGAAAATCCAAACTCGTTGCAATGTGAGATAATCCAAGACGGTAGCACTTTGCTCGCACAGTCGTAAACACTGAATCAGAAATGGTGAAAGTTGCGCGCCTTTCCCGGGACCAGATTTAACAAATAACACCTTCCCTTTTTGAATAGAGTATCTTTCGGCGATAAGCTATCACAGTAAATAAAATGGTGAATCATGAGCTTTCTGCCACTTACAGACAGCTTCTATGAAGTGATGCGACGCCCATAGCTGCCCTTTTAATCCATATTTCTTCTTTATACCTCGATTTATTTGTAACCACAGCGCCTTTCCATTAAGTATGTACTCCGTTCAGAGGACTCACAAAATTGAGTGAATGGTTAACAGTCTCATGAAAGTGACCAATTTTCCCAAGATGGCGTAGCCGCGCCAAGATTCAGTTCTTGTCACAGTACCAAGGTGAACATTTCGAAGCGTTTTTCGTCTAGTGTGGCGCAGTCAGGACTGCTCACTCTTTCAAGTTCAATGAACATCCTTTCCATACCGTCTTCCATACCCCCCACAAGCCACGAGCTTCGCACTATTCTCTCTCGATTGTACTTCCGTTTCATCTGCGTATGTCTGGCCCACTGAGACGGTTTTCCCGGTCCTCCGATTTTAAGAGGTTTTCTCTTGCACAAAACTTTCCACAATTATATCTCTGAACCACTGATCCCACTGCACCATGGTATTACTGTTCACTTGCGCGATGTTCCATACTGTCCATGTCGTTCACGCAAAAGGAAGACGCCAAGAAGAACTTGCAATTTGTAATCCTTAACTGTTCAAAGAACGCATATTAATAGGATCCAATTTTGCTTCCAGCTTTTTCTCAGCACTGCCTGCACTTACATTCAAACCCGTTTCCTGACAACTAACCATCCATATGATCTACCATCCATATGATCTACTGATTGCGTGGCTCGAGGCAAATGGGTCATCTGCGGTGACGCTAAACTGGTCCACGTTTTGCAAGATATAAATCAAATTCCTCATTGCACATCGATGCGACTGTAGTCCAGTCTTCGACAATGGAAAAGTTCCGTTATGGCAATAATTCTGCTTCTTCTGCCTCAACAACCTGAAAAGAAGCGCAAACAAAATGAACCAGCAACGGCGGCAAATCGTGTGAGTAATTGATATGACAGATACCGGAATCCTGCCTTTCTTTCAACGCCCTCATCAACTTGGCTTAGTATTGTTTTCGCTGTGTTAACGTAGTTGGGGAGGAGCACGCGACGGAGCGGCGTCGCGGCGACAATGGTGACTATTCCACCCCATACACTTACAGAAAGATGTTTTGCACACCAACTCTGCAGGGTATAGGCGATCGAGTAGATACGACCATCACTGAAATAGGTTTAGATACACGATGGTTAATTCGAATCAAAATTCAAGAAATGATAATGATAGGTAGAGCAATGAATTGATTATCGATCCCACAGTCTCTTGGCACCAAATCAAAGCCTACGTATCGCGCCTAACGTATTACGAAAAGACGGCCTGCTCTCATCCCATTTGTATTGCACCGTATACCGTTAAAGCTTCGCTACTCGTTCCGATGCATGAACGATAAGCACTCTTAAAAGAAGAAGGAATCATGTGGAAAACCTTCTGATGCGGACTTTTCTCGAAGTGATCCACTCCACTTCGCGCGCGCCAGCTATGCTTTTTCTGCCTGCGCTCTCTTGTCGAAATAGCGCGTTAATTATTCAATGTGCATTTCAATTTGTCCCCATGCTGAGGGTTAGTCATGTTTCCGCTGTCCGAAAACCTATAATACAAACATTTATTCCCTCCCTCATGGTGTTTGCTTCGTAGAGTCCACCGATGAGTCTGAAGTAGCTTCTGTAATATTTGTTCACTGATCGTCCTCTCATTAGAGAGTAACATTATGATGGAAGAGCACAAGAATGTCCAACAGCTGAATGCCCTCTAGTTGGGTTCAGCCGAAAAATGGTTTTCCGGCGCCACTGAAATAAGCTATACTTTCCCTGGATGCGAGCGTGCGCCTTTGGTGGTCCACCCGACACACAGATCCGCTCATGCAGAAATGCTCTTTTCCGTTGCGTCTCAAATGAATTGAGCTAGGAATAAATTAATATGCAACCCTTGTAAGAGATAATGTGAGTCGTGGAGAGACAATTCCGAATCGAGAGAGCAAAGCAGGTCACCATTACGGCACATATAAGATATTGAGCGATGAGCGGGCCGTGATCCTTCTGAACGAAGGATTATCCAAGTCTTCAGCGCCTAATGTCTTATTGACGCATTTCAAGCTGCGAAGGTGGCGCGGCTTCTACAGGAACGTATCTAGCATCTCTATCCAAGGCAGGGGCTTTGTCGCAAAATGCGACTTTTCCCATGATTTCAGGCAAGTAGCTAGCTATGTTTACATTCCTTTGTAGCGCTTATTCTCTTGAATGCTTGGGAAAGGCTAGTTCTCAAAACATAATTTCCCCCTAGAAAATTATGTTTACAGGGAAAGATTTAATGGGCTCAATAGTCACGTAATCCGGCTGTATATAAGCTTCGCAATACTCTCCTAAAGGGGAGTTGAGATTTCCTATCTACTTCAACTAGTATTCTGTTGATCGCCCTTTCGGCCTCCATTCAATACCAGGGATCGGTCTGACCTCTTCGTCTCCCCTGCAATTCCACGACTCAGCTTCTCTGCAGCACCGATCAGTCGGCCGATAAGCTGCGCAACGACAGGCAAGTGTCGGCTCGACTTCCCGACTGGTAGCATCTTATTCCTCTTCTGCCGGTCTTCTACTTCCTCAGTGTATTCGAGATATTCCAGGCTCCGTATCCGATGCATGCTATCCAGGCAGGGGCTGCTTGTCGCGAAATGCGACTTTTCCCATGATTTCAGGCAAGTAGCTAGCTATGTTTACATTCCTTTGTAGCGCTTATTCTCTTGAATGCTTGGGAAAGGCTAGTTCTCAAAACATAATTTCCCCCTAGAAAATTATGTTTACAGGGAAAGATTTAATGGGCTCAATAGTCACGTAATCCGGCTGTATATAAGCTTCGCAATACTCTCCTAAAGGAGGAGTTGAGATTTCCTATCTACTTCAACTAGTATTCTGTTGATCGCCCTTTCGGCCTCCATTCAATACCAGGGATCGGTCTGACCTCTTCGTCTCCCCTGCAATTCCACGACTCAGCTTCTCTGCAGCACCGATCAGTCGGCCGATAAGCTGCGCAACGACAGGCAAGTGTCGGCTCGACTTCCCGACTGGTAGCATCTTATTCCTCTTCTGCCGGTCTTCTACTTCCTCAGTGTATTCGAGATATTCCAGGCTCCGTCCGACACTGGGATCGGTTGACTCCCCGCGGCTGCGAGCCCCGACTTCCAGACCGGCTCCCTCCGACACTAGGAACGATTGTCCCGTGGCTGCTAGCAAGAC